AAGCAGGACGGCGAGAGCTTCTACATCAAGACCTCGACCACGGTGCGCACCACCGAGATCACCTTCCGCATCGGCGAGGAGTTCGAGGAGCAGACGGTGGACGGGAGGCCCTGCAAGGTGCGGGGGGCCCATCCTGAGCCCGGCACATGGGGCTGAGTGAAGGGCAGGTGCTGTGCATGCAGATCTGCTTGTGCACGGGTGCATGTGCGCATGGTGCCAGCATACAGATGCTTGCAAGTGTACAGGCATGTGCATGCACAGTGCAAGCATGCAGATTCAAGCATACAGATGGGTGCATGCACAGCACCTGTGTGCAGATGCCTGCAGATGTACAGAGGCATGAATTTGTGCATGGTGCATGCACGCAGAGGCAAGCATGCACAGTCTGTATACACAGGTGTGTGCGAGCATATAGATACATGCATGCACAGTGCAAGCATGCAGATCCATACATGCATGCAAGTACATGCATGCAAGGTACAAGCATACAGCCTTGTGCAAGTGTGCATGCATGGTGCTTCTGCACAGATGCATGTGTGCATAGATGCCTGCGTGCATGTTACTTGCAAACACACACACCTGCATGGTCTTACTGGCACTGTCCTGCCCCATCTCCCGCCAAGCCATGTCCCCAGGCCACATGCCAGCCTGGGGACACCAAATGGACCTATGTCACTGGGTGTTGATGGATGGCCCTGTGTGGGGGTGGGTGGAGGGGGGGCTGCAGGGTGCCCCCAGCCCAGCGTCCCCCCTCTGCCCACTGCAGAGCTGGGCCAAGTGGGAGAGCGCCAACAAGATGGTCTGTGAGCAGCGGCTGCTCAGGGGCGACGGGCCGAAGACGGGCTGGTCCCGCGAGATGACCAACGATGGGGAGCTCATCCTGGTGAGGCCTATGGGGAATGGGGTGGATGTGGGGATGGAGGGAGCCTCCTCCCGGCTCCAGGGATGCTGCAGGGCCCTGGGGAGCGCCCCAGGCCGGTGCAGTGTGGGAAGCTCCTGCAGCATCTGCCAGGATTGACGCTCGCTCCCTCCTTGCAGACCATGACGGCCGACGACGTCGTCTGCACCAGGGTCTACGTCCGCGAGTGACACTGCGGACCCCCCGGGAGGGACCCCCGACACGATGTCCCTCCCGTTTGATCCCAAGCTGCATTTTGTACCGCCCACCGTGGACGGAGCGGCTCTCCCACAGCTTCCACTTGCTCCCGGCCCCGGTATTTATTTGTTAATATTTTATCGCAAGACCAAGCAGCTCTGCCGGGCTCAGCAGCCCCCCCACCTGCTCCCGGGGGCCTCTCTGCTGCCTCCATTCCCCTCCCGCTTTTTTTAATAAAAGTCTCCAGGGCCCTGGCCTCATCCATGGCGAGCAGGAGAAACCTGAGAGCTCTGGGAACGGGCGCCTGGAAAAGGGCCACCTTTCATTGGAGCCGGAGCGGGACCCCCTGCAGCGAGGAGCGCTGGGGACAGACCCCCCCACACACGCACCTCCAATGTCCCCGCTCCGGTACCGCTCCCGCGGGATTGTGCAAACCCACACGGCCCAGCCCCGCGTGGGAAGCGGAGGCGCCGATGGCCCCAGGGCAGGGAGGGCCGAAAGGGACACGGCAGCGTCGGGGTGGGTCATGGGGACTTGGGGACACGGGGAGGGGTCTGCTCTGTGTCACCGGGGTTGACATGATGGTGTCAAACCTGGCTTAGCGCATCCTGCCTGTGCAGCGCAGGTCTGGCCCTCGGCCCTGCGGTAGCTGCTAATTGCACTTAATGATGCAGCTGCTATTAACTACGCTGGGGGCCCCGGGGAGTCCCTTTGTGGGGGGTGGCTGAGCATCCTGGGGGGCTCAGCCTGGCAATGCCCCATCCAGGGGGATGCCCCAGGATTGATGGCTTTTCCCCTGCAGAAAACGCCAGGAAGGGCATAAGGGCAGCCCCTTTTTGGGGGAGAAAGAGGAGGATTAGGG